CAGAAAATGGATAACCTGGAGCACCTGGGTGGCTCAGCTGGTTGAGTATCTGACTTTGGCCCAGGTCATGATCTCGTGGTCCATGAGTTCAAGCCCCGCATCGGGCTCTGTGCTGACAGCTTGGAACCTGGGGCCTGCTTCAGATTCTGTGTGTCCCCCTCTCCCTACCCCTCCCCTGCTCATGCTCACTCGCTCTCTCAAAAATAAACATTAAAAACATCTTTTTTAAAAAGACATGGATAACCTGAAATTATATAAGGGTTTTCATTTGCTTGTTTTTATTCTGAGCCTAAGGAAGTAAGATCTAGCGTCATTAACATAGCCATCTAAGACTTCATCCATGATGGAGTCTTTGGAGTTAAGAATGCTAGCCATTCTCTATAGTAAGTGTAACTCTGTTCTAATACATGTAACTACATGATTTTTTTTTTTAACATTATTTTTGAGAGAGAGAGAGAGAGAGACAGACAGACAGACAGAAAGAGCACAAGCAGGGGTGGGGTGGAGAGAGAGGGAGACACAGAATCCGAATCAGGCTCTAGGCTCTGAGCTGTCAACACAGAGCCCAACACGGGGCTCAAACTCACGAACTGCGAGATCATGCCCTGAGCCGAAGTTGGACACTTAACCAACTGAGCCAGCCAGGCACCCCTAAACTACACAATTTCTTAAATGAGGCAAGACTGAAATCATCAGTGAAGCTTAGAGTCTGAAGTCTAAAAAGCTGTTGAATTCAATCTAAACACTCTACTAGAATTTGTTGAATTATATTCCTTCTGATATTCAGATTAGTGGGGGTGGAAGAAGGAAAAAAGAAACTCAAAGTAACAGGCAAAGAAGTAACAATCCAAAGACTGGGGCATTAAACGCAAGGTATTTACTATCTAGTTAATAGACTGGAGGTGATCTAAGTTCCATAACTACTTGATTTTCACTATTCTGCATTACTGTTATGACAGTGCATTTACCATATTATACCTAAGCCTACTGATTTAGAAAACAGAGTAATTTCAAACTCTTATAGCAGGTTAGTAATGCAGATCCCATAATGTGAGCATGCCCATAAGCCATCAGAGATGGCTCTTCCTCTAGAGGAAAGGAGACACGGAAAAAGTCTATTTACTCATGTGATTAAAGGATTCTAGCTTCGGGGCGCCTGGGTGGCGCAGTCGGTTGAGCGTCCGACTTCAGCCAGGTCACGATCTCGCGGTCCGTGAGTTCGAGCCCCGCATCAGGCTCTGGGCTGATGGCTCAGAGCCTGGAGCCTGTTTCCGATTCTGTGTCTCCCTCTCTCTCTGACCCTCCCCCGTTCATGCTCTGTCTCTCTCTGTCCCAAAAATAAATAAACGTTGAAAAAAAAATTTTTTTTAATAAATTAATTAAAAAAAAAAAAAAAAGGATTCTAGCTTCGAAGGCACGGGAATCCCACTCTGGGCACATCACCTTGCCTCACTGTTCTACACACTGGAGATAGTTACGACTCACTTTCTCCCCTTTTAGAGGTAAAGAATCTTTAGAGTTGGCTCAAACGTTCACCATTTCGAACAGAAGACGGACAAGCTTCTCGGACTCTCCTCTGTACTTGGAAGTCAGAGTGGATGAGGACACATTGAAGAATGTTGTCTTGCATTCCGTAGCTACTGCTTTAGCAAGGAGGGTCTTTCCTGTGCCGGGTGGCCCAACCATCAACACTCCCTGTTGCGGAGACAAGAACATAAGTGAGAGATTTACCTGCCACTGTTCTAATTCATAAGAATTCCATTACTACGAATTTGCAACTAATACATAATATTAAGACAAATAAAACATAAACAAAAGGATACTTTAGCACAAATTTACTTTTCTCATTATAAAAGGTAACTACATTAGTAAAAATCTGGAACTCAGAAATGAGAAAAATATAATCAATATTACTGATACTATAATAATCACACTCTAACATAAATACCAATATTATTTGGACATATTTCCTCCTAGTCTTTTGGTTGAACAAATTAGTTTTTTTTGTTACACAGCTGTACTCAAAGTAGGTCTAGAACTTTGTAGCTTGCTTATCATTTCATATTTCAAGAATTCTTCATAAGTGCAGTTAGCCATCAGCACATTTTCCAAATCCAAGAAAGGTTTTTTCACTGTCTTTTCAGAGAGCGCATGACTTTTTAAAAAAAGCACCTACTCGGTACAGATGTCTCCATCTCTTAAAGACAAACGCAAGAAGTAGAGGATACAAGTGTAGCATCTTACATAAAACAGCGTTTCTGCATTAGGCAACTTGTTCCTAGGCTAATACACGCTCACTCGAAATCAACTTTCCAAAGGTCACACTGTACCTATTTCTTATTCTGAGAACCTTGCAAGAGCTTTGGTCTAAACAAAATTCTGAATGGCATACCTTCTAATTGAAAGCTTTTCTTACCTATTCTTTCTCCCCTCACTTCCCTGAATAAGATAAATACGAGTTTTCCACAGCAATACACGCCCTTCACGCTGTCAGTGCCATAACAATAACAAACTTACTTTCCATGGTCTCCTGATGCCCTTAAAGAATTCTGGCATCCACATGGGTAACACCACAGCTTCCTTGAGCAACTTTTTAGCTTCCACTAAATCAGCAATATCGTCCCTGAAAGAGGAGAGATTTTATCAACAAGCTCTTACGTTCCACATTTAGCTCTACGCAGTCGTCCCCGAGAGCTGCTGGAGGCACACGGGCTCACGGCGCCCACACAGTGCCCGCCCTCCCGCAGCACACTGCGACGAGGCCCGCCACACCGACCGGCGGACGTGCAGCACAAGCTCACTCTCGAGTTCCTGGCAGGAAAGACTGTCCACCCGGCGAAGCAGAACACAGGTCTGTGGGCCCACTCAGATCTCAGATCAGGTGTCTCATTTTACATTCCTGCTCCTGTGATGCTCATTCCATAAACTCCGTGACTTAGAAACAACGAGCCCGTTAAAAACAAACAAGCAAACATAAAGAATAAAAAGGGCATAGAGCAGAGCCAGGCTGCAATATTGCCGCTTTGCCTCCAACCCCCCTGAGAGGTAGACCCCAGAGACAAAGAGTATCAGACAGACCGCCACGAAGTCATCTCCAACCACCAGACAACTCTACTGCTGCTACATGTGGCATTTCCATGAAAATAAATGCTCACTGTATAAATCTCAAATACCAAAAAACATTTGTAAAACATCCCCAAAGCCATCCCTAAAAATCATTAAGGGAGCTTGTAGAACTCAGTGCAACAATGATACTTCTTTGATTCAGTGTAATATTAAACAAGTTCAGAGCCATTACTAGAAATCAGAGAAAATAAAAGAAACACCCATGGGATAAACCTATAGGTAACAAGCAACATGGGGCTCCTGGAAGGCTCAGTCCATAGAACACGAGACTCTTGATCTCGGGGTCGTTAAGTTCAAGCCCTACTTGGGCACAGAGCTTATGTAAAAACCAAAACAAGCAACACACATGCAATAAGAGTCATTGCCATTTCACCACTGGAGGATGTCCCAAAAAGAAGATGGAAATTTCTGTGATCTTCTTCCCGTTCTGTACGGAAGATTTTCTTATTTAATATAAACTTATTTATCATTTGTTATAATCAAATCAAATCAAATCAAATCGTTTCAGACAGACACTTGATACAGCCTGAACCAAGTGTTGGGTTCACACTACATGTACTCTGGGTCCATCCCCAAGGACTAATCTTCAGCGCATGCCCACACTGGTTCCGTTTTCTTTTCCTAAAAGCATTATCCCATTATCTTCTTGTGATATAACTTACCATCGAACATTGGGATTCTGAGAAATTATATCTCTTTCCAAAGCTTCTACTAAGTCCTTATCATATCCAGTACTATCAAATTTACTTGTCTCTGGTTCTGTAACTGCAGCAGGTGATTTGTTCTACATTGGGAGAAAAAAAAAACAGGAGCTTCTGATTGCCTCAACAATTATATTTTGTTTCTGTGAGTCAGACACAAAGACTGGACTCCAGTGATATTTTTTTAAAGAGCTAATATAATAGTACAAGTAATAAGGACAGAATCAAAGACTATTAAGTCATCCTTCTACACCAACATCAGAGTTATCAGAGTTTCATATTCAACTTTTACTTTTACATAAAAAGTATGACAAAAGTGCTCAAGTGAAACAAAAATATTATGTATACGAACTGGCAAGAATCAAGAAATCAATACTGAGATGAACTGTGGTTACTAAGGAATATCAGATATGTGTGACATTTATCTCAAAGCTTTAGGGGACATAAGGTTAAAGGCAGACGGTTTCTGTAGCTAAGATTACAGCTCACTCTTAACCACCTACTTGGCCCCCACCAATGCTCCTAAAACATCCCTTTCCACAGTTCCCACCCCACTCCAAGAGACACCTCCATCCCTAGGTGGGATCCCCTCCTGTGCTCTGTGCCCACAGTCCTTAGGGTCACAGCTCGTAAGCCATGTACCAAAGTACTGCAGGGCACAATGGCAAACTCACAGAGCACTGCAGGATATTTTACATTTTTGAGGGAAACCCAGCAGAATCTGTTGAACACGGGCTGAACTACCAGTTCCAGGTAGTTCTGTTTCTACATTAAAACTACTACATTCCTTTCAATAATGCCACATTTTTGTAAAGCTGCGTTTCTGGCAGTTTCTGTGATAAAAGGAATAGTGGGAAAATCAAGGTGAAAGAGGAATGACAGTGAAATGTCTACTCTGCCTCCAAAGTCTGAGAAACTGAGCTGTGTCCAACATGTGCTGTTAGGACATGGCAAAGTGGTCTGAACCTAACTTCTTCACTAATGGATGGGTATTCTCTTTGTCCTACGAGGTGCTGTGAAAAATTAGAGATACTCACGAATTTTATATAAGGCAAGAAAATGTACAAAGCTCTGAACTATGGTAAATATTTACTTGGCCTTGTACCAGAATTCCTACCCTGTCTCATTAACATTGGCTAGCCCGTAACATGATTTCTTAGTGGTGGGATCTAAAAGTATTAATGTATCCACTTAGCCAATATTTATAATATTCAAAAGTCTTACACTAGATGGTATAAAAAGTATGTCTCACAATATACATATTCAATATCTGATACTAACATAAAAAATTCAAGGAAGGTATTGTGCATTTAAAAGAGGAGAAGGTCGGGGCACCTGGCTGGTTTGGTCAGAAGAGCATGCAACCCTTGATCTCAGGGTTGTGAGTTTAAGCCCCACACTGGGCGTAGAGATTACTAAAAAAATTAAATTAAAAAAAATAAATAAGGGCGCCTAGGTGGCTCAGTCGGTTAAGCATCTGACTTCAGCTCAGTCATGATCTCGCTATTGGTGACTTTGAGCCCCGCATCAGGCTCTGTGCTGACAGCTCAGAGCCTGGAGCCTGCTTTGGATTCTGTGTCTCCCTCTCTCTCTGCCCCTCCCCTGCTCATGCTCTGTCTCTCTCTGTCTCAAAAATAAATAAAAACATAAAAAAAAATAAAAAAAAGGAGGAATCCAGCAAGAAAAAAGAATTGTATACTATAACCAACTGATGTTTATTCCAGAGATGCAAGGCTAGTTCAATGCATAATACACACACACACACATATGTAATCTATATATTAACACACTAAAGAAGGAAAACTATAGCATCATCATACAATAGATGCTAAAAAAGCATCTGGCATAACTCAACATCCATCTAGAATAAAAACTCTCAGAAAAACAGGATTAAAGAGGAACTTCTTCAACATGGTAAGGAGCATACACAACAAACCTAGCATTAATGTTTTATTTAATAAAGAAACACTGAATGGCTTCCCCCTAAAACTGAAAACAAGCTAGAATGTCCACTTTCATCACACTTATTCAACATAGTGCTAAAAGTTTCAGCCAAAGTAACAGAGCAAGAAAAGGAATAAAAGCATCTAAATCCAAAAGAAAGAAACAAAAATGTTCTATTTGCAAATGACATGATGTCTACTCAGAAAATGGTAAGGACGCTACAAAAATTCTCCTAAAATTAATAAATGACTTCAGCAAGGTGGCAGGACACAAGACAAATATCATCACAAGTCAATTTCATCACTAGAGAAATGCAAATCAAAACCTCAATGAGATACCAGTTCATACCATCATGATGGCTATTATAAAAATTTGTAAAAGCAAAAAAACACAGAAAATAACAAGTGTTGGCAAAAATGTGGAGAAATTGGAACCTGTGTGCATTATTGATGGAGATGTAAAAATGGTGCAACCACTGTGGAAGTTTGGTGATGCCTTGAAAAATTAAAAACAGAATTATACATGACTCAATTCCACTTCTAGATGGATATATATATATCCATATATCTCCAAAAGACTTGAAAACAGGGTCTCAAAGAGATTTTTATACACCAATGACATGGAAGCATTATTCACAATAGCTAAAAGGTGGAAGCAACCCAGCGTCCATTGATGGATGATTGGATAAACACCAATGGAGTTGGCGAAATTCTGACAGACCTTATACTAAGCAGAATAAGCTAACAGAAAAGGCAAATACTGTACAATTCCACTCATATGAGGTACTTAAAGCAATCAAATTCATAGAGACAGAAAGTAAAATAATGGTTGCCAGGGGCTGAGGAAGCGAGGAATAGGGAGTGTGATACTATGATTTGTATTAAGTATATATTCAGTCTAACTCCCATTCCTGGCACACAGTTCCTACAACGCTTGTAGTTTCTTAAGTGATAAGAACTATGGGAAGATCTTTTGCTATAATATTTAGTTTTTGTTCCCAGCTCCTAAAATTGCTCCAGAGCAGTAAAGATGAAGAGGTGTCCTTTGTTATTCTTAACAGGCCCCTTTGCACCATGCCTGCGCTTATGCTAACACCTTAAGTTTTGGAAAGCCCCTAGATAACCACAGGATAGGGCTGTTGCCAAGGGAACCAAACAGGTGATTAAAGTGTTGGAACTTCAGCCCCACCCCACCAACCTCTGGCAAGGGGAGGGGGCTGAAGGTTCAATTAATCACCGATAGCCAATGATTTAATCAATCAGGACCACATAATGAAGTCTCCATAATAACCCAAAAGGATGTGGTTCGGAGACCTTCCAGTTTGTGAACACGTGAAGGTGCTAGAAACGTGGCATGCCTGGAGAAGGCACAGAAGCTCCCATATACCTTGCCCTATGCTACTCTTCCATCTGGCTGTACCTGAGTTGTATCCTTTGTAATAAACTGGTAGCCCGGTATAAACTGTTATTCCTGAGTTCAGTTAGCTGCTCTAGCAAATTACTGAACCAAGGAGGGAGTCATGGTAGCCTCTGATTTATACCAGTTGATCAGAAACACAGGTGACATCCTGACTTGCAAGTGGTACTGATGTGGAAGCAATCTTGTGGGACTGAGCCCTCACCTGTGAGATCTGATGCTAACTCCAGGTAGAGAAGTGTCAAACTTAAGTTGTAGGATATGCAGTTGGTGTTGGCAAGTTGGTTGGTGTGGGGAACCCTACACACTTGGAATTCAGAAGTGTTCTGTGAGCAGGGAGTAGGCAGAAGACAGGGTTTTCCTTTTCAGGGAGCTATTTATTTATTTATTTAATGGGTAGAGTTTCAGTTTTGCAAAATTGAAAATGTTCCGTGATGGATGGTGGTGATGGTACAAAAACATAAATGTACTTAACTTCACTAAACTGCACACTTAAAAATGGTTAACATGGGGGGAGCCTGGGTGGCTTAGTCAGTTAAGGGTCCGCCTCTTGATTTTGGCTCAGGTCATGATCTCAGGGTTGTGAGATTGAGCCCCATGTCAGGCTCCATGCTAAGTGTGGAGGCTGCTTAAGATTCTCTCCCTCTGCTCCTCCCCAGCTCTCTCTCTCTCTCTCA